TCCAACATGTGTTAGGAGAGGGCTGCTCCCAAAATACTGGTGGCCTGACAGGTGCCTGCACAGATCAGCTTCGGTGTTGTCCTTTGCCTAGACCCGGTGTATGTAAACCATTTGGCTCTCTCTGGAGGTGGGTTAAAGAATACTCCCCGCCCCAGGTAACCAGGAGCTGCTAGGATGGACTGATGAATTTTGTCTCTGCTTTACTGTCAGAAATTGAGCCATGCTTCTCCATAGTGCCTTGACTAGAGAGCAGCCTTTAGCTTGAAGACCTGCAGCTACCAAGCAGTGTTGAAAGGCTTGGAACGGGCAACATGTGGCTGAGCTGGGATCCCAGAAGCTTATCTGGAAAGATAAGCTAATGGTAGAGAAAAAGATTGCAAATAAGAGGTAGCTTTCAACATGCACAGCCTGAAGTGTCCTTCCCTATCATAGTATTTCAGCTCCTTTTGGAATAACATTTTAATTGCATCCTAGCTCCCTAATGCAGTGGGACCAAGTCACTGGTGCTGCTGAAATCTCCCCATGCTCTACAGCTGTCACACGAGGTGCTGGAACCTGACTGGGGTGGTCAGCCCCAGATGAGTATTACCTTCTACATCTCCCCAGAGTGAGTGTGGGTCACCTTGATCTGGCTGCCTTTTGTTGTGCTCCTGCCTGAGGGAAAATCTGCAGGTATGGCATGAAAATAGATAGATTACTTCTGGGTGTACCTAGACCCGGAGAGTGGACCATGTTTTCCAGCAGTGAAGTTAGCATCCCTGCATCTGTCCCATTTTGAATCCCTTCTAGCCCTCTGTCCTTGCCCCTTTGCCTTTGGAGCGCTCTGCAGAGCCACGAGGTCCTGAGGGAGGTTCAGATCCCAAGAACCTGTGTGATCACTCTAGCTCCACAGCACCTCTCACAAGATGGGATTCCTGTAATTGAGGCAGAACGAGGCAGCTGTGAAAAATTAGTTCCCAGAGAGACCGAAGCGAGTCTGAAAACTTTGTGTCACTCTAGGGCAGCAGAGCTGCTGGCATGGAAGCAGACAAGTGACGCTGGCTCCTGTAACACACATCTGCCATGCCTGTGGTGATGCCGGGTCCAAAGAGGCCCAGCCATCTTGCCAAAAGACTCACGATGCTCCCTTCTATCACAGCAGGCTGGGAATCTGCCTAACACATGGCCTGGAGAGGAGCTGCTCTCCAAGGTTATCTGGAAGGGGAGCTATAAGCGTGCACCTCAAGTGCAGTTCTTCCCCGCAGGGCAGTTCTTTGGGCTGTGAACTGGCATTGAGGCTAACTCCATCCACCTAAAGAAGGGCAAGTGAGAAAAGGGAGAGAGTAGAGCATGAACAGAACTGGGGAGCAGCAAGCTGAAGCATGAAGTATGCTGGGGCGGTAACTGCTTGTTGCAAAGTTCATTGCTTTGCTAGACAGCGCTGATCAGCCTGCAGTACTGACTGCAGAAGCTGGCTGGGAGGCTGTCTGGAGTCTCCCATATCCTGTCCTGAGGATAACCACGTCTGTGCAAGGTGGGTGTGATGACGCTCACCACGCAGAGAGCAGTCATACTGTGACCATACAGGGTCAAAGAGCCCATAACTTTCCAGCCCCTTCCCTTCCATAAGCTTTACCTTCCTCTTGCTGCTCGCTGTCCAGCAACGCCATTGCCTCCATTTCTTCATCAGATATCACATCATCCACGTCCACCACTGTGGACGTATGCGCCCTACCATCAGTCCCTGCGGTGCTCTTGATCTCCTTTGCTTTCTCCTGCTTTATGTCTCCCCTTCCTTTGCTGGCTTCTCTGCTGCTCTCCCTCTTCTCTCGTTTGCTCTGTGTAGCTGGGGACTCTCGGCGTCTCCTGTGAGACTCCCTGGAAGAGCTCCGAGACCTCTTATCCATTCTCGTCTGTGCCGAGGAGCATGCAGCTGCCTGTGGGAGTTGGATGAATTCGAGCTTGAATTTATTGCTGCAGGCAGGAAAACCAGGCAGGGGGCGAGAGAAGGGGAGGTGTCAGATTAAGGAGGCTTGTTTCAAGTTTATCACCGGCTTGTCGGACATAATGGACAGTGAAGTGAGCAAGCTGTTTCCCAGCTGCTCTGCTCTCATCACACACTGCTGTGGAGACGGGAAGGAAGGTTAGACCTGGACAGGGTGGACACCAGGACAACATTCTGTTCGCATCTTCCTGCCTTTGGAAATAAAATACAATCAGAAGCACTCAGATGACTTTTAGTAGATGTTTTCTGAAAAGCTGTTGAGAAGCAACCTAAAAGTAACTGTCAGACATGTGGCTCTAAAGACCTCATGTGGTGAGAGTGTCCCAGAGCAATAAACACCGGGGTGAAAAACCTGTACTGGTGAGACCAGTGGCTTATTCAGGTGTGTTTGGAGGGGTCATTGTGGAGAACGGCTCTGTAAGTAGCTGTTCTGCTTTCTAGAAACCCTTTGGCTGGCACAGTGGAGGGATATTGGCAGCAAACTCCCTCTCTCTAGGGTCACCTCGCATCTTAGCAGGGAGGGAAATTAGCTGATCCCAGTTCAGCCATGAACTTTCCTGAGTGGGTGCAAAACATGGAGGCCACTGCAGGGTTAGAGCTGTTGAACTGAAATTGCCAAAAGAGTTTGTGCCTAAATGCTTCCCTAGTTTTCCACAGCAGGAGCATAGCAGACCAAACATAGGAGCTTTTTCTTTTCATGCCACACAGCCTGTGGTGACATCTGTGGAAACCTCTGCAGGAAACACTTTTAAAGTGTTTTAAAGTCACTGGTTGTATTAAAGAAACCAGTACCTGGCTAGAAATCATACTATAGCAAGACAAGGCCAGAACATAAAGGAGGCACTTCCCTGTCAACGGGGCAGTGCTGAGCTCAGGGATGCCCAGTCTCTGGTGTGGAGGAGCAGCTGGAGGGAGCTGGGAAGCCGGCCGGGGAGGTGCTGCTCTTGTTTTTTCACAGATTCCTATTTTATTAGAGCCTTGTGGCCTGCCCGGAGTCAGGATATTGCAGGCAGGGAGGGCAGGAGCACCAGCTCCCTGTTTTCTCTGCTCCATCGTGCTGGATGCCTCGTCAGCAGGTCACCGGGGAAGCGATGGATGGAGAGGGCTAATGGCAGAGGAGAAAAGTTGGGTGGAAATGGGGCGTAATTAATAAATTCATACAGCTTCTGTATTTGCTTTGGAAGTGCTCCAGAGACCTTTTTACTTTGTGTTTATCACTTGGCCAGCGTGGGGCAGGGGGAGATGGTCTCCAGCTGATGAAAGGGGAGGTGACATTTTAAGCAGCAGCAGTAAACGGTGACTCGGGTCTGGTTTTGGCTGGGCAGCACGGACTCTGGTTGATTTCTTGTCAGAAGCACCATGGGATGTTTAACACTGACAAACGTGAAACTTTCTGGTTTTATCGGATGTTTAATTCAACCAGTGGGTCCCGACTCCTCCATCCAGGGGATGTTTTTGACTGCTACCTTGGGACAAGGGAGTTGCTTTGAGCATGTGCTGATGGATTTGCAACCTTCGCCATGCCAAAATCTGCAGCTTCATCCCCCCTTGTCATATTGACACGTATCCTCGTGCGGAAATCAACCGCACTGTTGAGTTTTCTCAAATGACTGCGAACCCTTAAGAAACGGCCATCGCAACCTAGTACACCGCGCTCTTTGGCCTTGGGAAAGTCACTGAGCGTCTCCGCTGTGCATTTTCCTCTCAGATGCGACTAAAAAATACAAGACTACTCTTAAATTACGTTGGTGCTTGGGTTTAAATACTGCCAGCTTAAAGGTGTCGGTCCTTCTTTGTCCGTGGCTCTTTTGCAGCGAGGCGAGGAGGAGCGGGGAGGGCGCTGAGGGA